GTACCGAAACGGTTGATTGGGTGGTCTAATCGATCACAACCATTCCATACATTCTTGCCAAACCACTTTTTACCTATTCTTGTACGACTTTCTACTTGCTACTGAGCCAGTTCTTCCTAGAAGGCAACATTTGCAATGGTATCAAGATATAACCGTTCTCGAAGATTGCTGCGAGCGAGTGTCAGAGCATGCTCAATAACAACTCGGACTTTGACCTGTCCGTATCCTGTAGATAAATTCAGGGCATCGTGCAAAAGAATTTGCTGCGAGCGAGTGTCGAGCATGCTCAATAACAGCTCGGACTTTGACCTGTCCGTATCCTGTAGATAAATTCCGGGCATCGTGCAAAAGAATTCGCAGTGGGAGCAAACAGCCATTCATCAAGGCTACATATCGAGTTTGCCGCAAATGAGGTATAAACAGTCATTTTCGTTCCTCCACAAGTTTCCCTGCTGGTGTTGCCCGGATCGAACCATTCTTCAGGCCATTATTTGAATGAGATTCTCCTAAGAAAAAAGTTATTGGTAATTTGACCAAAAAAAAACGATTTCGAATACCCATTAGGTAGGAAATGAGGTATAAACAGTCATTTAGTTTCTCAAGTTTCCACAAGTTTCACTGCTGGTGTTGCTCGGATCGAACCATTCTTCAAGCCATTATTTGGATGAGATTCTCTTAAGAAAAAAGTTATTGGTAATTTGACCAAAAAAACGATTTCGAATACCCATGAGGCAGGGCATTTGATGAGGTAAGCAAGGGCCCCTTCTTGGAATAATATCGCTCAAGACCTAGAGATATGAAGATTCGATGTAAATCGTTTCTGTTTCGTGATGCGCCCTGTATAGGCGATTCAGTGGTTTTCTACTAATAACTCCGGTAACAACGGAGTAAAAATACAGCAGATGTAATAATAAGTGCGGTCGTTACCGCTATGAAATGCACAGAAGGAAAGTTAGTATTAAGTATTTCTCTAAACGATACTAAACCCACGTGCTGCCTTTGCTGTTGCTTTTGGTAGAAGTGATGGACCCACTTATCTCGGGGCCGCTAGGAGTCGTTAAGCTCGAGGGAGTCGTCTCAGACATTGAGACGACGAGATAGTTATGGTGAGGGGATCGTCGCCTTAGACACATCGTCGTTTACAATTCAAGGGGATTCAACTGGGCGTACGTACATGACAACATGATAAAATGTATCTACATGACGGCTCGATAGTTGTTTTTCTTGATGAATGAATGAGGCCGCGTCGTAGTTGCAGCCCGTAGTTCACAGGCTTGTGGCGAGGAAGACGAAATAGTGAAGACATTGTGAAATAAGGAGTATTAGTGTTAACATGAGGCAATTATCACGAGCTC